CAGTCATGGGTGTTTGTATTTTATATATGTATGTATTTAAAGTTATATATGTGTAGTGTATCAACTATCTGGTATCCATAACACAAGCCTCGTAGCTTACCATGGAACTAGATGGTACTGTGTGTTAATGTACCAACAATTTATTTATTTATTGTGTATTACTCATACAGCAGAATGTTTTATTTCACTTGTCTAGGTTAATCTGGGAAATAGTTAAGCGGATTTCAAAAGGTTTTCCACAGAATCGGATGATAAGATTACATATATTATAATATTATAAAGGTAATGATTGTGAGTTTGTGAAGTTGTAGGGGGTAATCTCTGGATCTACTGAACTGATTTAGATGAAATTTGATAAGAAGATAGTTTGAGATCCTAGAAAGGATATAGGTTACTTTTTTAGACCACCAGACTATAATCTATCTCTGTGCCAAATTTCATCCAAATCCGTTCAGCCGTTCTGGCGTGTTTGAGTAACAAACATCCATCCACCCTCACAAACTTTCACATTTATAATATTAGTATATGATAATACTTTCTTAGGTTTATTTTTAGTTTTGGTTCCCGATGTTTCAAATGCTTTACAACAATCTTGGTCTCCCCGTCATGGTCAGTATCTCCCGTAACCTCGAACCAAAAATCAAAATAAATCCGCGAAAAAATCCGAGAAAATAAGTTGTTTTTAAAATTAGTACAGCTATAAGTATATAGATTTCTTTGCAACTTCTATGCTTAGCCATGATACTTATAAGTTAAAGCAACACCAGACTACTAAGCGAGTATAACATGACGTAGTGTTACATTATCACTAGATATTCTTATCAGTACACTGATAAGATAGTTGCAGTCATTTTGTATGGAGAAATAATTTTCCAAGACTTGCTTATTTATAGATAGGTAGCTACTATAATAACTAACCGTTTTACGTTTACACATTTACATTCTTTTGTCTATGTTCATTTTTATTGCAATTTCAATTGAAACAAGTGCGAGTCGCGTTTCAATGTCATTTTTTAATGATTTTCTCACTCGTGATTCTTGGATAACAATATGACTGTATATCATATGGCCGATTTCACCAACGTCACCTAAGTTTAAGGGATCCCCTAAGCATGGTTAGGGGGCTGTTAGGGGACAGTTACTGTTTCACCGACAGTTAGGGGTCACCTAAATATTAAAAAAAATAATAAAATGCCACCTAAATATAGATACTAGAAATACGGGCTCTGACGATGGTAAAACGAAATTTAATTTAGGGGCTAGTTTAGGGGACTTTTAAGCTAGGGATCCCATACGCAGGTGGTAGCTTATGGGTTGTAGGTGAAATCGGGCAATAGAGTCATATCCACTAAAACCTGTTGATCTGACAGATCAGGCGCAGGACCGACGACTTTACTTGCTCTGTCCTCGGCGCGGGGATGAAACAACATCAACTTCCCAACTCCTGGCTGTTACTGAGACTTTTTAAACATAAAGACTCAATAACCAAAGTTGGTTCGACCTGAGAATCGAACCCTGGATGTTATATTTATATAAAAAAGCGCGTTTTCAAGATATTTTTTATACAAGCGATTTTATTTTTATTATCTTTTAAACTATAACAAAATTACATATTGGAATTGGCTAATTTTATTTTTTGTGACTTGTGATGATGTAATATATATTTCTTTGATATAATACATAAATCTATTACGATGTAAAAAGTAAAATGTAACTGAAGGGAGATATTCATTTCTTATAGATACCTAATTAGATATTTTCTAAATTCCTCCTTTTTGGTAGTCGGTTAAGTATAGTGACATACAGACAGACGGAATAATGATCTGGCAAACTTGACAAAATTATATTGGTTTTTGTCTTTTAGCCTAATTTCGCCAAAATACCGATTTAGAACGGCTTTCAACGAAAATTACAGAATACGAGTAAATTCCGGAATCTTTGTTCAAAACAATTCCAAGCCTTTTTTACTTACATATTGTGTAATATAACTTCTACGTATGTATTCAGCACTTTTTAACGTCCCACTGCTGGGGGTGGGCCTCCCTTCAATACGAGGGGGATCAGGCCATAGTCCACCACGCTGGCCAAGGGCGGGTTGGCACTACACTCATCTTTCGAAAACCTACTAAGTTCTCTCCGACATGCTAGTTTCCTCACGATGCTTTCCTTCACCATAAGGCAAGATAATCATGTTGGAAATGGTGAATATTTTTAGAATTTCTCTGATTTCCCTAACAGGCAGAGAATTTAGAAGATACCATTCATATAGTATACTTTATATTTTTGCAGAATAAGAAAATATTTATAAATTACATAAAGCTGGCAGGTGCCGGTATGAGATCGGTCAAGCGGATATAAGGGTGTACCACCCTTAAATGTCAAGCGTGAAAACAGTTTTTGCACAGTGCGATATGGCGTGAGAGATATAAAGTGACGAGTGAAATCTATGAATGCCTTCTAACTTTGTTCAAACGTACACGAAGTTATTTTTAATCTATGTACAATTATTTATTTCTACATATAATAAAATTGTAAGTAAGCCGAATCTGTACATTAAATATTTTTTGGAACATCTTATTGAAATAAACATTATTATCCATGCAGAGGCCAAATCTATAGTTTTTAGAATTTTTTCCGTCTGTCTGTCTGTCTGTCTGTTACCGTATCACGAGAAAACTACTCGACAGATTTTGATGAAATTTGATATGATGATAGCTGGTTTTCCGGGTCAACATATAGGATACTTTTAATTACGAGAAAATTTCTCATCTCTGAGAAATCTATACTAAACGTTAAAACGTATGTAGGACGAACCCGAGCAGAGCGAGAGTGAGTCTCTAGTTAATGTTCGAGATAATAATATCCTACTAATATTATAAATGCGAAACTTTGTTAGGATTTATGGATGTATCATCTATACAAGGATGTTTGTTACTCTTTTACCTAAAAATTACTTAATGGATTTTAATGACACCTTACAATAATATATGTCATAGATCATAATAACATATAGGCTAGGTTTTATCCCGCAAAAATGTACTGTTCCCGTGGGATAGATTTGTTTTTGTTTTTCCAGAGGTGATTATAACATGTCTACATTTTTCGCACATTACTAAAAATTAGCAAGGATTTCTATACTCTTATAGTACTTCTTTTTTGAAGTTGGTCTAAAAGCGAAGGCCGAAAAAAAATATAAAAACTAAGATTAGTACACAAACCAATGAAACACCTGTTATACAACGGTCTCACCGTATGTTTCTTGGGTACCGGAACAAATTTTGACAGGTGTTTTTTTTTATTAAAATGAACCCCTCATACTTAAATTTTGATACAAATTGCGTAAAGTCGACGTCCGTGAGTTCGATTTTCATCTGAAGTATTGTTAACCTAGAAGGTCCTAAGCTGGTATTCTGACTTTACCCGATTACTGCGAAGCTTAAAAAAGAGTTGTGTATATGTAATAGTATTTAGTTCGCAGTAAATATAAAAATTGTATGTCTCCGACTGAATCTATACTAATATTACAAATGTGAAAGTTAGTGGTATGGATGTATGTTACTCTAGACATTACTATCGATACAGAGTCCGAATCTATAGTTTTTAGAATTTTTGTCTGTCTGTCTGTTACCGCATCACGAAAAAACCACTGGACAGATTTTGATAAAATTTGGTATAATGATAGCTTGTTATCCGGGTCAACATATAGGATACTGATTATCGCGGAAAAATATCTCATTTCTGAGAAAAAATACAAAAACTGCATTATAAGAGTATATTAATATATAAAACCTAAGAATTTGGTTTTTGGTCATCTGAACGCGGGCGGAGCCACGGGCAAAGCTAGTATAATTATATTTAGTAAGACTGTGTAACATGTAGAAATTACTCCGTATATCTGTCAAGGTCCTAGATAACTGCTGATAAGGAGCGCCTTCATTTCATTAAAGCGAAATTTGCATTTGAGAACAATGCAAAATTAAATTAATGAATGTTTAAAAAAATCATAGTAATTACCAAACACTACCTATATATTTTTAAGCTTTAATTATTGTAACAAATATTATAACATATTTTGGTGCCATTTTTGAATTCGTTTTGTTATTTTATGGGTAGTCTGTCTATACAACTACATACAACTATATATATGATGCCTTTGAGACGTGTAAAACCTCAGTCTCTCCCGTGACCATGATTGCTGTAAAGTATTCGAAACGTCGGGAACCAAAAATCAAAATAAATCCGCGAAAATATAGTTTTTGGCGTTTTCTGTCATTTCTAGTTCTCATACCTTAAATGGTCCCATAGAGTCTTTTGATCCCTACATAAAATAGGATTGATTGACATAAAAAAAGTTTTTTTGGTAATTCAGCATTTTTTTCGCTAACTGTTCATTTTTTCCAAAATGTGTGAATGCAGTTATGGGTGGTCTCCGAGGAACGTTTTCCTGTAACTATATCAGTTAAGGTACCTGCCCTTAAAGTCCCGACTCAAAAATCCGCCCTGTATAATGATTTAAAGTTGCTTAACAACCTTTCTCGCTAATTTTCCTACTTAAAAATACTTAAAAAGCTGTAAATAAATAAATATATACACATACGAGTATATACATCTCGCGGCAAGGATGAAACGTGTGTCTCCGACTCCATAATACTATATTCCATCGAGAACTTGCTTTCATCTTTTTAGTTAGCTTTTATGCAGTCGGGTTTTTTTATTTTAATAATATATGTTATCGACTAGTTTCATATAGTCGACTGATATCTTTCTCAAAGTCTACATGAAAATATACAAATTGCCTACTTTGATCTAATTTTAATATACTTCAAAAAGAATAAGTTACTGAACGTATATTTTTTTAGTTTCTCTACACTAGAAGACGTTTTAAACCTTTAAGTATTAGAATTTAATTTAATATAATACGTATATTTAAAGTTTTTTTTTAATTTCAGGTAAAATGGATTGAGTAGAATAATATTTGTTTGGAATTTATGAAAATTAAAATGGCGGAAAACGAGGGGCCAGTCACAGTTTCTGATCTGCCTATGAAATTCCAAGTAAGTATAATTCGAATTTCCGCAGATATTTTTCACGTGTCATAACAAATTATATCCATAAAAAATCAATTTTCATATAACTTTTGAACCATATTCCGTAAGAATTTTTATATTTTTTCCTGATTTTATCGAAAATGGTATAATTTATGTCAATTTACTTTACCATTAAAATGGAAAAATCGGTCAAATCGTCTTCGATAAATCGGTGAAAATATATAAAAAAACATACAGATGTACATAGAAACTCCTTTTTGGAAGTCGGTTGAAAACCGGTTACATTTCCCGGAATTAAACCTGTAGCCTAAAGTTTACTGTGTTAAGTAGCATTCAATAGATAAAGTAATGTAGATATTATATAAAAAAAGTAGGAGCGTTATAATTTATAATATAAATATTTAATATATAGGTGACTAACACCCTCGCTCAGCTCGGGTTCGTCCCTACTTACGTTTCACCGTTTAGTATAGATTTCTCAGAGATGATATATTTTACCGCAGTTAAAAGTATCCTATATGTTGACCCGGATAACCAGCTATCATCATACCAAATTTCATCAAAATCCATCCATCCAGTGGTTTTCTCATGATGCGATCATTGGAAGACAGACAAAAATTCAAAAACTATAGATTCGGTCTCTGTATCAATAATAATGTCTATTCAATAAGATTTTCCAAAAAATATTTAATGTACAGATTCGACTTAGAATTTTATTATATGTAACTATACAAGGTATGAGATAATAATATCTTAAGTCCATATATCAGTTTTAATCAATAAGTTATCATTATGTACGATCTCACTTTTTATACATAAAAATCAAGGTTGTTTTGAAGTTATACTTCTATTGGCACATTTAGAAAAAATTATGACAGTAAAATTTATACGATGCGCGCGCACAGCGACAGCCAAAAAGCGACATGCTGAAATTAGCTGAAAGCGACATGATAAAGTTAGCAGCATTCCTTTTACAAACAGAGAGTTGTGACATACGGGATGAAATCTTTAGCTATTCTTGTTCTGTCACGCCAAAAAGTATAACTTCTTACGTGCGTACATAACACACACGTTTTTTTTGTACAATAATGCATTGAATCATCAAATATTTAGAGCGCTAGAGGTGATATTTTAAGTTTTTGTCTCACTTAAACCTAGGTTTTTTTTTAATATTAGTCTATCTACGACTTGGCTTGCATGTATGTATATGTGTGTATGTCTGTTAATCCCTAAAGGATTACTATAGGATCTGAAACTGCTGGATAGATTTGGATGAAATAAACTTCTCTTTTTTTAATGTTGGGAAATGCACTTACGCATACCACCTGTATACAAACAGGTGGATATGTGGGATTATGGGATAAAATGATGATAATGTTCTCCTAGCCGATTCCGGCTACGGCGGCCAATCTCATTGAGACTAGCCAACTGCGCAGGAGATATTATAGTGCACAAGTGTACGCGCAGACACAACGTGCACTCTCTATTCCTGTCACTCTCATACTCCGGTGGGACGACCACTCGACACGACCAGTGAGAGTTAAGGCGCAGGACCGACGGCTTTACGTGCTCTCCGAGGCACGGGGGTGAAACACCGCCAACTTCCCAACTCCGGGCGGTTACTGAGACTTACTATACAGAAAGACTCAATAACTAAATTTGGCCCGACCCGGGACTCGAACCCAGGACCTCCGAGTGTGCAGCCGTACTTGCTAGGCACATCACCACCGAGGCAGTTAAGTTAGTTTTGGGATAAAATAAACCTGGAGTAACACATAGACTTCTGCTATGCATCTAGACAAGCACCCAAGCACAGCGATATTAAGTCATTATTAACGAACATTTGTATATTTAAGCAATCCGGTAAGCAAATGCGAATTTCTATTGCTAAAGCGAATTCCTATGTACCTTTCATGTTCATCACATAAGCTGGGTATATATAACATGTATGTATTTAAAGTTATATATGTGTAGTGTATCAGCTATCTGGTATCCATAACACAAGCCTCGTAGCTTACTATGGAACTAGATGGTACCGTGTGTTAATGTTCCACAATCTTTCTGACTTAAGAACTTTGCTGTTACCAACTTAAACTTTGTTGTTTGCAATTGCGAATTTAAATATACATAATGTTTACTTAACTTTAATGTATGGGACTCAATTAAGCCAAATAAATCAAACTCATGCAACAACACCTTCTGGCAAAATCATTGGATCAGATTGATTTAATTAAAGTTTTAACCGACTTCCAAAAAAGGAGGAGGTTTTATTAAATAAAACTATCTTTTCGGATTATTTCGCGGATTTATTTTGATTTTTGGTTCCCGACGTTTCGAATGCTTTACAGCATCCATGGTCACGGGAGAGACTGAGGTGTTACATGTCTTAAAGATATAGTTGTTACAGACAGCCTACCCACAATTAACAAAATGAAAATTGCACCAATTACATTACAATATTTTTAACTTTAAACATTTTTTATAATTTTAATTATAATCGAATATGGAAAATTATTTATTTAATTTTTGCTATTATTTTTATAATTATTACAATTTTAAAAATATTAATTAGTAATCTATATTTAGTGTTGCCATTATTATATTTATAACCATAAATAAAAATATAAAAATATAGTATTAATTATTAAAGCCATATAATTGTTCTATGTGTAATTTAAAAAAGTTAAAATTAATTACGGATAATCATTTTAATTTAGTTTGCTATTATTTAAAAACAACTTACTAACCAACACTATTAATATATACTTTTACAAATGAAAAATATTAATCTGATAAGCTGTCATTTTGATCTACACAGTATGAACTTACTACATCTGCCTGTCTGTTATGTTTATATTTATTATTTGATTTTATTATATTAATAACAGGATCCCATGACGATGGTAGTACCCAGCCATCTTCCCTATTGAAATTTGGATGTTTTTTAATTTCTATGGCTTCTCGAATCATTCTAGGGCGATATCGGTTTTCTTTCGCCAGGATTTGAGGTCTATCGAAACGAATATAATGGCTCAATTATAATTAAAATTATAAAAAATGTTTAAAGTTAAAAATATTGTAATGTAATTGGTGCAATTTTCATTTTGTTAATTGTGGGTAGGCTGTCTGTAACAACTATATCTTTAAGACATGTAACACCTCAGTCTCTCCCGTGACCATGGATGCTGTAAAGCATTCGAAACGTCGGGAACCAAAAATCAAAATAAATCCGCGAAATAATCCGAAAAGATAGTTTTATTTAATAATGTCAAACATTCGCGTAAATCTAAGAAAGTATTAAGGAGGAGGTTCTCAATCCGTCGAAATCTTTTTTTTATGTATGTTCACCGATTACTCGAAGACGCCTGAACCGATTTGGTTTTTTTTTATTTCAAAGGGTATACTTCCCAGGTGGTCCCATATAAATTTTATTTGTATTATCATTTGGACTACATCTCCACATCATACATACATATAATGAAGTTTTGAGTGGAATCTGTACATTAAATTTTTTTTGGAAAATCTTATTGAAATAGTCATTATTATTGATACACAGGCCAAATCTATAGCTTTTAGAATTATTATCTGTCTGGCAACGCATCACAAGAAAATTGTGGTCCGGGTCGTATAAGATACTTTTTACTGCGGGAAAATATCTCATCTCTGAGAAATCTATATTAAACGTTAACACGTAACTAGGGATAAACCAGAGCAAAGCGAGGGCGACTCGCTAGTATGAATATAATTTACCGATTTATGTAATTAAAAAAATAACTGTTTCCAAAAAAAATTGATAGCACGAAAACTCCTCAATAGTTGCTAAATAAAAGAAAAGTAAATCGGTTAACAAACAGAGGATAAAAAAAATTTAAACCAACTTCTAGACACTATAAAGTAAATCTTACATATATATATATATATATATATATATATATATATATATATATATAAAAGGCAAAAGTGATTGACTGATGTATCAACGCACAGGCCAAACCCTTAAGACTAGAAAATTGAAATTTCGCACACGTATTCCTCATATGACGAAGGCATCCACTCAGGAACAATTTTTCAAAATTCAACCCCCACGGGGGTGAAATAGGGGAAAAAAGTTTGTATGAAACTTTTTATTCCTTGGGCATATTTGCATGAAATTTCGTATGAATTGAGTACAGCAAAAATAATCAGTTACGTATTTCAGCGTTTTCTAAAATTCAACCCCTAAGAGAGTTAAATAGAGGTTGAAAGTTTTTATGAAACTCACTCATTAGTTTTTGTGGTCTTATTTTGTGTTACAGTTATAACATATCTGGGTTTTGCATTTACTATAGATATAATATAATATATATTCAAAAATATCTGACTAGATAATCAGATATTTTTGAAGTAAGTCAAACGAAAAATAAAATAAGTCAACCGTATGATGAAATTTGTGAATTACGTCGGAAAAAATCCTCCCTTCTGAGATCTTCCATTATATTTATAAACAACCTATAGACGCACCATCGCTTTGCTCGGTTGCGTCCCTAGATACGTTTTAATTAGATAGAAAAAGTTATTGTGAGTGTACCTTAGCATACGCTATGTGGCAGATTTTTTCAGTACGATGCAAGTTTTGGAAATGCCGCCCCTAGGTAATTTTCATTAGGATTTCGTAGCTGAAAGGCCAAAACGAAATCCTTATAATTTGTCCGTCCGTCCGTCCATATTCCACAGTAATATTACTCAAAAACTATTGGAGCTACAGGTACATCGTCTCAATTGCTAGACAATTCTGTTAAATTACGAAACGAGGGGTTCTTCTTCTGAAAAATTAAAGGTCACATGAGTATCTGGGGTAATTGTAACTCCAAAGTAAGCCCTATTGGGCTGCCTGAGGCGGCTAACAAATATAATTTATACCTTTGTATCCGACCGGGATTCGAACCCGGACACTTATTCGATCTTGCGCCTTGGCCGCTTGAACTAGATGCTTATATCCTAACTTGCGAAATTATAGAACATAGTATTTTACGTGGAATAATGCAAAAGAAAACCGCATGAAAATTCGAAAACACGCGTTTTCCCAGACATAAGACTAATCTAGATCGATTTATCGCCCCTGAAACCCCTTGTATACTAAATTTCATGAAAATCGTTGGAGCCGTTTCTGAAATTCAGATTATGTATATATATATAATGTCTTTCACAAAATATAAAACTAGATCGCAATATACAGCAACTTCGATTAAATTAACTAAAATCAAGAGAAAAGTTAGATTTACATTCTACAAATCACTCATTTTGTAAGGCTTCGTACGCATGCAGAGCGGAACCGTTACGAAAATGTGTACCAACATTGGTATTCTAATAGCAATAGTAATAATATAGTTAACTAGCTTATTCCCCTGACAACATACAGAAAACTATCGAAAAAATATATAATAATATTAAATATGTGAAAGTTTGTATGTATGTACATTGCACATTATACTTAGAGTAGAGAGTGTTTTAAATGAAACTATCTTTTCGAATTATTTCGCGGATTTATTTAGATTTTTGGTTGCCGACGTTTTGAATGCTTTACAGCGCACATGGTCACGGGAGAGACTAAAGTTTTACACGTCTCAAAGGCGTTATATGCTTGTTAAATTTAAAACATTCGAAACGTCGAGAACCAAAAATCAAAGAAATCCGCGAAAAAATCCAAAAGATATTTAGAATTATAGTTGAGAGTGACTAACCTGTACAGCCGCAGATATGAAGGTCCTAGATTCCAATCCCGGGTCAATCGAATAGGAGGTTATTAAGGGTCTTTTCTGGCAAGAAATTTTCAGTAATAGCCTGGAGATGAGAAGTTGGCGATGCTTTACCCATGCCTTGGAGAGCATGTAAACCTGTGGGTCCTGGGGCTTGTCTCTTACAAGTCGTGTCTTATCCCACCGGAGTTTGGGGATGATAGAATTAGTGTATTTGTACATTTCACACACATATCTATATAATAAAATTGTGAGTCGAATCTGTACATTAAATATTTTTTGGATAATCTTATTGAAATATTCATTATTATATATCGATACAGACGCCCAAATCTATAGTTTTTAGAATTTTTGTCTGTCTGTTTGTCTATCTGGGAACGCATCACGAGAAATCCCTGGACAGATTTTGATGAAATTTAGATGATGATAGCTGGTTATCCGGGTCAACATATAGGATACTTTTTAATGCTGGAAAATATCTCATCTCTGAGAAATCTATACTGAACGTTAAAACGTAACTAAGGACGAACCCGAGAAAGGTGAAGATGAGTCGCTAGTGAACTATAAAATCTCATACACAGATGGATCGTCTCGGTGAGATTGGCTGACTATTTTGAACTTGACAGAAGGATATCTCAACAAATAAAACCCTGGCTGGATGTCCAATAATAAATTTTTAACTGAGCCGAATTTTAAAAGAAATTATAGCTCACTAAGCAATGGCTTTTCTTACTAAACTTAAAAAACTTAAAATAGTTCCTTTGAGGTACAAACGTTTCATTACAGGAAAAAATAATTTTAAAATAATATAGATTTTGAGCTTGCCATTTAAACAATTTAAGTCTAAAATCTATACATATAATAAAATTCTGAGTCAAATCTGTACATTTAATATTTTTTGGAAAATCTTATTGAAATAGACATTACTATCGATACAGAGGCTGAAATCTATAGTTATAAGAATTTTTGTCTGTCTGTCTGTGACCGCATCACAATAAAACCACTGGAGGGATTTTGGAGAAATTTGGTATGGTGATAGCTGGTTATCCGGGTCAACTAATATAATAATACGAGTATACTAATATGTAAAACCTAAGAATTTGGTTTATGGTCATATGAACGCGGGCGGAGCCGCGGGCAATGCTAGTTAATAATATATTATTGAATAAAGCTTACTACACCCTTACGGAATACTTCGTAGATATCAACATGTGGAACTAACGTCTGGTTGGGTCTCACGTAAAATAAGTAGATAATTATTGTATTACAATATTGTAAACAAGTATTATTTTAAAAGAGCAATTGTTGAGTTTCTCGCCGGCTCCTCTCAGCAGAACTGCCTTCCGAGCCGGTGATGGATTCCTCACCACATTTTACAATTTAAAAAAATGTAAAATTGGCAATTCAAAAGTGCTTGTAAAAATCTATTTGAATAAGTATATTTTGATTTTGATTTTGAGGAGCGATGTCGGTTCGAGTTTGATACCAGACGCGATTATCTGAAAGCCCGACCATCTGTGGCGATCATATATAATATTCATAATGTTGTGCTCACATGCCCACAATGTATGCGGACCTTCTCAAAGAAGATTGGCTACAATAGCCATGAGAGCACACGAGCGACAAATGCCGCTCCAAAGCTGCAGCAGTCGCCGTGATCGAAATCGGTCATCATCATCATCATAGGCTCATCATCATTTTGATTTGATAGGATTTATATACAAGCGAGTTGAGTTGCTTCTTTTTTGAAATCGGTCAAACAAAATAATGGGAAACCCGGCGTAGTCATCCAAACTAACAGACCGTATAATCTACAGAGATTTACAAAGGTCATATCTTTTGACACTGTTAGCTACATTCATCAAGTAAAATTAAAATTAAATTGGTTTCATACATCTATGACGTAGCAACCAATCTATTTTACCGACTTAAAAAATGGAAGATTCTATATACGATTATAGTTTTGTTATGTACCTAATGCAAAAACTTGTAAAAAATACATACAGACAAACATAAAACGTCCTCCTTTTTGGGAGTCGTTTGAAAAAATATCTCATGACCAATTTTGTTCATGGCTAATCTCACTCAACTTTTACCGTAATATTAAAATAAATACGACAAAATTAAAACAAGGATCCATAGAAACGATAATCTGACATGAACAAAAATTAAATTATTTAAAAAATATCCTACACGAGAATCGAATTGAGTACCACAAAATGGAGAGCTGTAAATGCAAGCCTCTTTACAAAGAAGAAGTCATTCGAATACATAATATTGTATAATCTCTAAACATAAATGTATCTATAAACTTTCACCCATACACACTTATGGGGGCCATACTAATTGCCATGATGACGTCACTTCCGGTCAAACCGCTCCAATTTTACAATGGAATGTTCTAGAACAGTATGGCGGTCCTTTTGTTATTTCCCATTTAAAGCAAATCATCATGCCTACGACCTCCACATTATGGTATAAAATAACTATTGTGGTACAGATGTGAAGGCTAACTTATCCATAAAAAGTTATTAAGGCCTAATAGTTCAAATACATTTTGTCACCTAATAAAAATATGATTAATTTTTAACTAAAAACGAGTTTATATATGTTAAGTTTAACGTTTAGTACAGATTTCTCATAGATGAGATATTTTCCCGCAGTAAAAAGTATCTTAAATGTTGACCCGGATAACTAGCTATCATCATACCAAATTTCATCATAATCTGCCCAGTGGTTTTTCGTGATGCGTTCCCAGACAGACAGAAAGACAGACAAAAATTCTAAAAACTAGATTCGGCCTCTGTATAGATAATAATGGTTATTTCATTAAGATTTTCCAAAAAAATATTTAATGTACAGATTCAACTTAGTTAGAAATTTATTTTATGTATAGATTAAATAAATAACCTTAAAGATAATCTTAGGTAAGAGGTAGATTTTTATTTGAAAACTACCCACTAGCGACAAACAGACAAAAAATGTTGGGGTCTTTTTTCCGTACACAATATGTAACCGTCATGATTTAAAAAAATATTTCATGAACATATTTCGCTAAGTTACTATTTTATTATATGTATAGATTTTTAAAGAATTACTTTTGCGATATTCATTAAAAAAAATTAAGAATTTTACACCTGCTTTTACGTTTTTTAAGTCGGTTTAAATACGAGCGTTTCTACAATATCTTATACACGTAATATATTAAAACCCTCTTGAAATTTTTCAGGTCAAATATTTGGGACAGAACGATGCAAGAGGGTTATGGGGAATCAAACATACAAGAAAACCCGTCGATATTATGGTAGCAGCAGCGAAAGCATTACCACCAGGTGAATGCTCCATTTTGATAAAATGTCCTCAAAAGAAAGAAGAAAATATATATGCAGCAGTTGCCTTAAGTTTCTTTGGTTTAAATGTCAAATTTTCTTTGTTAAATTAATATCTTTTTTAAAGTTTTCTTAAAATTAGAACTTTCAAAGATAAAAAACACGCAAGATGCGCTTAATTCATTTGTTTTAAAAGTATATTAAAAAAAACGGAATTTTACAAGCTTTTTTAAGGATATTTTTAAATACAGAGTTTACCTTAAAAGTAAATTTTCCATGTCTTTTTAGTTTTACATAAAGTATTTATTTTTGATTTCAGGTCAAGTCCTACCGATAGTAAAATTAACTATAACAGTCGATGGTGTCCATTTAGAAACCATCAATCAAGGGCTCAAACATGAATTTGAGCATATGGCAGTGTTTTTCAATATAGAGTCCATATCTTATGGGGTTCAAGACCTAGTGTACACGAGGGTCTTCTCCATGATCATAGTCAAAGATAACGCTGATATGAAAGGCCTCAACCCCTTCGAATGTCACGCATTTGTTTGTGAATCAAGGTAAGTTAGTTAAGTATGTATATGTAAGTATATATGTTTATATGTATATATATGTGTGTGTGTATGTGTGTATATATATATATATACACTGTACCTACACTGCACGAAATGTACTTATTTTCTCACTTCTAAAGGGTTTCTGGAAGAAATCTCTTAAAAAGATAAGTTATCCTTTGTCAACATTTTGTTACTTTATTTTGTATAACATATACTTGATGGTACATAAATAAAAATAAATAAATAAGTTTTATTCATTGAAACTGCCAAAAAAATTCAACGTTAGAAATAGTATCGTAATTTTGCTGTTTACGCTACTACGAGTATTCTCAACTGTGGCATACATATTGTTTTGTTTCTTTAAATAATAAAGGTTTAAAACTATAAGTCATTAATTTACAATGTTTAAAAAGAAAATCTATACATATATACAATTCTAACTGATTCGAATCTATACATAATATATATATTTTTTGGAAAACTTATTGAAATTGTCATTATTATCGATAAAAAGGCCGAATCTATAGTTTTTGGAAATTTTGTTTGTCTACCTGGGAACGCATTTCTGGAAAACCACTGGAGGTATTTTGATGAAATTTGGTATAATGATAGCTGGTCATGCGGGTTAATAATTATGATACTTTTTACTGCGAGAAAACATCTCATCTCTGATAAATCTATACTAAACATTAAAACGTCAGTAGGGAGTTGGGACGAACCCGAGCGAGGGTGAGTCGCTAGTTCATAATATGTATTTTTTTAAGTCAATTCTAACATATACCTGCTTTAAAGTTATCTTTTAGATCTAAAATTATTACAAAATGTTGTACGTTCTTAGATAAGGAATTTTATTTTAACCTTATTCCCATGGATTTTTATCTTGTATTATTATCTCAGTTAAAAATTGATAGAGATATAGTAGCTTAAAGTAATATAAGAGTATCACAACATTTTTGTCTTTCTTTAAATTTGTAACTAACTAACCTGAAAAACTTAAATCAATTTTCGTGAAACTTTCACCACCATATTGAAGTTGCTTTATAAATACTCTAATATATTTTAATATAAATATACTAATATAGGTTATAGCAATATATTAAAAAATATTTTAGTATGTAGTAGTAGCAAGTAATGTATTTTATAATACATACACACACACACACATTTATTATATAGTATTTTACGTAACTTCTTCTTCACTTAGTACATTTTTGTTAAAGTTAATTTTTATAATGATTTTTGTTATATTTTTTCTTCTTTCACAAACAAATACTAAAATTATTACTGTTAAATATGCTCTGTAATATTATTGACCTCAAATTATGATTAAAGATGGAAGAAGGCGCTGACTCCTGACATACAGGTTTATTCTAGTTTGGGAGTCAGAGGCTTCAACAGGCTTATGTATGTAACAACAAAGAATTGTGTCAATAAAGATATATTCTATTTTATTCTTTTCTATAATCAAATAACGGAATATATTTCTTATCTCAAGTCTTTTATCCGCACCCCAAGAATTTCTAATGAACTTGGCCATTTTTTCCTTTTAAAGTTTTTGAGAGAGCTCTGAAAGCTAGTTGTAGTAGAAGATTACTTATTATATTTTCTTTTACTATACTTGTGATATTAGTATCTCTACAAGGGAACTGCTCTCGTTACAGAAATGCCGCTCGAAGACTTACCTATTCTTTAGCAGCTGCATTTCAAGATTATTCTAGAAGAGTCAAAGAAATGCAAATGACGCCAGGTATGTTAAGAAAACCTCGTTTTTATTAATATCACTCTCTGTTCACTCAAGCATTAACTCGGGATTTTTCCTGCACAAATGTATTCAACCCTTTTTAACGTCCCACTGCCGAACACGGACTTCCTCTCGATGCGCGAATCTGGCCACAGTAAAGCACGCTGGCCAAGTGTGAATCAGATGGTGGACTTTCGGAGAATTTGATAGGTTCTCACAAACATACAGGTTTCCTCACGATGTTTTCCTTCACCGTAAGTCAAGTGGCAATCATAAAAATGATTCGCACATGAAAATATCAGAAATGCGAGGCCCAGGATTTGAACCCGTTTCACAAGTAAGCACGTTACCACTGGGCTACCACTGTCTTTATTCTTTACAAACGGATAACACAAATATTCTTCATACAAAACCATGTATGTCTTGCCAATTTTCATGATGATTTCATGGCGTTCGTTTAAACAGCATAGAAGTTGATGCGTTGTAGCGCCATCTAATGCAATATAGTGCTAATACAAAAATCTTCGACATGTAATTTGTATGTGACGGATAATAAATATCGATTGATGAGTGAAACACATTAAGCAAACTGGCGCCGTTTTCATTCCAATATGGCGGACTCCCAAAGATGGAGGAGTGTTTTTTTATACACCCATATGATATGGATATCAAATGAAAGGGTTTGCTAAGAAGAATAGGAATAAAATAAAAGAAGTTTTTAAAAAACTTTTAAAAAACTTTGACGACACGTTTGGCTTAGTTTGTAGTGACCCTACTTGCTGCGCCAGCGGTCGCGGGTTCGAGTCCCGCTGGGGGCATTCTTTGTGTGATGAGCACGAATATTTGTACTCTAGTCATGGGTGTTTATATTTATAATATGAATACATTTAAAGTTATATATGTGTAGTGTATCAACTATCTGGTATCCATAACACAAGCCTCGTAGCTTACCATGGAACTAGATGGTGTTGTGTGTTAATGTCCTGACATATTTTTATAAATTCAGTTCAGTTCAAAATTTATAATTATAATTTTCTTTTTTTCACAGCATTTAAAATTAAGTTGGTCACACAGATTTCTCATATATTTCCTTTATTTGTTCAGTTGCAGAGTTGGACGAAAGGCCACCAAGTTTAAAAAAACGATTTGCCATCGACCTCAGAACGCCCGAAGAAATAGAAGCGGATTTAGAAACAGAAGCTTAGGTTATAACTAATAACTATAGATAAACATAAATTTATATTAATTAATTATATTAAAAAATTGTGGGTGTAAAGTTAATATATATATATATATATATATATATATATATATATATATATATATATAACTATTATGTATTGATTTACAAAAATTCAAGATATACAATTAACGTCTCGAAAGTGTCCTCAAAAAGAAGTGAATTCGAAATTGAATTGCGCATCAAATCAAATGAACAAAAGGTTATTTTTTCCTTTTCGGATTACACGCGCGTTATTTCGTTCAAAAAAGTACTTTATGCGGTGTGCGTAAGTTTGAGTTTGTGTTTAGACAATTAGAGATTTTGTTTGAATTTTACTCCTTGGTTTGACTTACCGTCACAAGTCGATGCCACTTTATGAGGAGATACTTGTTAGGAAATGTAGAACACATTTCCATTACATTATATATATATATATATATATATATATATATATATATATATATATATATATATATATATATATATATACTGCCTCGGTGGTGTAGTGGCTAGCATGTACGGCTGCACACCCGGAGGTCCTGGGTTCGAGTCCCGGGTCGGGCCAAGTTTAGTTATTGAGTCTTTCTGTATAGTAAGTCTCAGTAACAGCCCGGCGTTGGGAAGTTGGCGGTGTTTCACCCCCGTGCCTCGGAAAGCACGTAAAGCCGTCGGTCCTGCGCCTTAACTCTCACCGGTCGTGTCTCGTGTCGTCCCACCGGAGTATGAGAGTGACAGGAATAGAGAGTGCACGTTGTGTCTGCGCGTACACTTGAGCACTATAATATCTCCTGCGCAGTTGGCTAGTCTCAATGAGATTGGCCGCCGTGGCCGGAATCGGTCAGGAGAGAACATCATCATCACATTATATCTTTTTATATATCAATGCTGTTATGTCCCATATATTTCAATCGGTCAAAAATAAGGCCCCAGCATCAGATCAACTTGATGTTATCAAATTATAGGCCAGATTTAACACACATTTTGTGAACTTTAAAACAGCTGTTTTGTTCCAATATTTTTTTTATTGATCTTTTTTATTGTTAGTTGAAATCGACTAAGATTTTCTTTAAATATGCTTAGTTATTTACAATAGATTCTAATCACAACGTTTTATAAACACAAAATTTTTCAAAGTGCTTATAATTTTTTTTTAAGTTTTTACAATTTGTTTATTTTAATAGGGAGTGTTAGACGTGTTTTTATTTTTGGTTTCAATTATTACAAAAATTCTGTTAATTAAATAAAATGCAGTTAATTCGCATGACAATGAAATATTTGATCAGAAATATTTTTTCTTGGTAATCACACATAATTTGGTAATACACAGTATGAATCATATTTAGAAAAAGTAAATATATTACATACCTATTCCAGAATACTTTCTTAGATTTACGCGAATATTTGATTTCTTTAATAAAACTATCTTTTCGGATTTATTTAGATTTTTGGTTCCCGACGTGACCATAATTGCTGTAAAACATTCAAAACTTTGCGTCGAGAACCAAAAATCAAAATGAATCCGCGAAAAAATCCGAAAAGATAGTATATAAGTATTATATAAAAGCTTATAATAATATAAGCTTATAAAGCATATAATATTTATTTAAAATGCATCCAGAAACTTAGTTTTTTACCCTATTACCTATATGCCCACGATTTTTCATTACCTAAACGTGTTAAACTAGTAAATCAAATTTCTAAAATATAAGTATTAATTTGCCATATTAACCATTTTGCTGTCGTACCATAGTGTACTTCAAGTTAGACAGTTAATATCATACAAACTGTATTTAGTGGTTTTTCTAACGTCCCACTGCTGGGGGTGGGCTTACCTTTAATAAGAGATGAATTGGGCCATTGTCCACCACGCTGGTCAAGTACGAGATAGAAGATTTCACACGTCTTTCAAAAACAAGCTAGACTCTCTCAGGCATATGTATGTGCCTCACGATGTTATCCTTCACCATATGGCTAACTTAGCAATCATATTAAAATTTATTCGCACATAGAAATTAGAGGTGCGAGACCTGCGATTTGAACACGCTTCACTTAGTTATACATTGGATTACCATTACCTTTATATAATTTAACACTCATTAAGTTTTGAAATGCAGTTCCCTACAAGTGTGTATTCAGCCCTTTTTAACGTCCCACTGCTGGGCACGGACCTCCCTTCAATACGAGGGGTATCAGGCCATAGTCCACCACGCTGGCCAAGTGCGGGTTGGCGGACTTCACATGTCTTTCGAAAACTTTCCTACAAGTTGGCCCTCTATAATTTATAACGCTAATAGAAATCTCTAATATAATATGTACATAGTGATGACATAATCAGACCACGAAATGACATACTCAAATATATCATTGTATTTTATGGCTATTTTATGATTGCATCGGTGGTGTAGTGGCTAGCATGTATGGCTGCACATCCGGAGGTCCTGGGTTCGAGTTCCAGGTCGGGCCAAGTTAGTAGTACTAGTAGGCTTTCTGTTTAGTAAGACTTAGTAACAGTCCGGAGTTGGGAAGTTGGCGGTGTTTCACCCCCGTGCCTCGGAGAGCACGTAAAGCTGTCGGTCCTGCGCCTTAACTCTCACCGGTCGTGTCGAGTATCGTCCCACCGGAGTATGAGAGTGACAGGAATAGAGAGTGCACGTTGTGTCTGCTCTATACTACTCGTATATCCCCTGCGCTGGCTAGTCTCAATAAGATTGGCCACCGTGGTCGAAATTGGTCGTGAGGACATTATCATTATCACTATTTTAAATGATATCTCGCTTAAACCCTCAGATGGCTAAATGTTTGGTTCAAATCGCAGGAATATATCAGTGTCACATATTTTTTAGTTTGATTGTACAAATCAATTTGTTATTTTAGATTTTTGGCAATAGAAAGAGCTTCTTATTTGGGTTAATTTTTTACCGATGGATTTTCTAATTTAATATTTTTAGTCTTAGAAATAAATAAAATGTAAAAGAAAATATGAAAAGACTGTATACAGTGCTTAATAAAGTAAAGATGATAATAAAATAAAAGAGATAAAACAATTTATTACGAAATAAAAATTTTAAATATAGTTCATATTATATAAATTACAAAAACAATAATATCCCACGGGAACCGTACATTTTCGCGGGATCAAAACTAGCCTATGTGCTATTCCAGATTTTAATCTATCTGTGTGCCTTCCATCCGGATCCGTTCAGCCGTTCTGGCGGTTCCCTTTAAACTTTCACATTTATAATATGTATTATTATAATTACATTATAAATTAAGATTTTTGTATTGTTAGTTCTAAACATATTTTGTTTGGTAAAAAATATCAAATTTTTGTTTTTGATATAAAAAATAGAAACAGAAGAAAAAATAATTTTCAAGTTTTTCAAAAAAATAGATATTAATTTAGAATCATTTTATAAATAAAAGCCTGCAATGTTTTTTACTAAGCAGAATACAAAACCCATATAATATAGCTACATAATATTACATTCAATTCAATTTCATTTGAAAGACGAATTTTGTAAAAAAAACGCTGTCTAAATAAAAATTCTGAATGTTTGGGATTCGACAGTCGATATGTAAACATCACAAAGGGTCTAAACTCTAAAGGAGGCTTACAAAGGCCCTCTTTGAATTTTTCATTCAAAAGATGTAAAGAAATGGGCTATCTCCTTAATTAATCTTAGTATTATTAGTACAACAGTCTACATCACATTCATATAGTCTATAGAAAGCGTCTAGACCGGGCAATTATACAGGGTGTGCAAGGTGAGGCGCACACGACTTTCATACATACTTTTATTAGACAGTTGGGAAACGGTTTTACGGTTAGCAGTCTGCAGTTTTCTAATTAAATTGTAAAAGAAAATATTGTACAGATTGTAATAAGGAGGCCACGAGATAGCACTACAACTCTTTAAAATCTAACTCGGTCGTTATAAATATTTGTTATTTTGACAACCCTTGCAAAGAGAGATAAGAATTGAGTAAAAGAGTTCAATAAGACGAAAGATGTATGAATTTTTACTTCTACCAGCAACCCCCGTACAGTGTAGTGATAGTTATGGCTTAATATTTTCTTAATTTACGCGAATATTAGGCATTTAAAAAAAAACTATTTTTTCGTTTTTTTATTTTTATCAAAATCAAAATATATTCGCGAAAAAATACGAAAAGATAGTTTTAATTTAAAATGAACTTGGCTTAATTTTTCAAAGAGTGTTTATAATATTTAAATAGTTTTATATAATTATGTGATTTTAGATTGAGTTTTAATTTATTTTTATTAAAATTGCACCAAATATATTGTATATAGTTTAAGTTTAGAATAAATTGTTGTTTGAATTTTTATTGTATTTTTTAACATCGTATTCGCTAGATTATATCGTTCCAATGTTACTGAAAACCGTTGATCCAATAAGCCGTTCAAAAAAAGTAATGGCTGGTAAGAAATTGTTGATATAAAAACTTTTTAACAAAAAAATAAAAACCGACTTCAAACAAAAGCACTAAAAAGTAAAAAATAACTGATTGGTAGTTTTCATTTACTATACATACCTAATCAAATATTTTCGAAGTCGGTGTGCTTTGCTTTGTATGGGCTGGCACCGATTTCGAAAATATTTGATTAGGTATGTATTTAATAGGTAGGCTTTAATTACTTAGCCAAAGCACACCGACTTCGAAAATATTTGATTAGGTATGTATAGTAAATGAAAACTACCAATCAGTTATTTTTTACTTTTTAGTGCTTTTGTTTGAAGTCGGTTTTTATTTTTTTGTTAAAAAGTTTTTATTTTTCCCTTTTTAGTGTAGACAGTAGTAGCAAAGTAAGGATTCTAACGTGTTAGGCTTGTCAAATGAAACAAAATAAGCCCAAACTCAAAGTATCTACTATTAGCCGTTGAAGAGTTCCACCTATCCACCTTCTGGCCTTGCCATCAGATCAGGTGAACAACACCGAACCACTGTACTATCAACGGAAATAGAAATACTTGCAAAGTTTCAAGTCAATATGACAATTAGAAGTAGGTTAAATTCATCATTCGCTATTTTTCCACCCTTAGGGGTGGTATTTTTTTTTGAAATTTAAATGGGACCAATCTGGAAGTATACCCTTTCAAACGACACAAAAATTGTCCAAATCGGTTAATAAATGACGGAGTTCTGAGGTAACAAACATAAAAAAAAAAAAAAAAACATACAGTCGAATTGAGAACCTCCTCCTTTTTGAAGTCGGTTGAAAATATGATTTCTTAAGATGACTCGTCTGTGTTAAAATATATGAAACATCTGTTATATCTTTATTTTAGATTTCCATACATTCGTTAAAAAAGATTCTTACAGAAATACGAATACTCGGGAGTGTATCACAGTCCTTTAATTCTGCCGGACAGAAAGATTTTTGGCTATAATTAAATTTAAGTATAAGGAAAAAAATTATAATTAAAGATAAAAAAACATAGCTCTAAAAGAACTAAAGGTAAAGCCTATATCTATACTAATATTATAAAGTTTTTAAGTTTGTGAGTTTGTGAGTTTGTGACGTCGTAGGGGATAATATCTGGATCTACTGAACCGATTTAGATGCAATTTGGTAAGGGGATAGTTTGTACCCTGGGAAGGACATAGGGTTTTTATCCTGGAAATCATCCCTTAAGGGGTTGAGAATGGGGATGAAAGTTTGTATGGGGAATCATGCTAGGAACGAAACCGAGCGAAGCGAGAGTGAATCGCTAGTAGAATATGTAGAATGAACAAGTACGATAGATAGAGAAGTATATTTTTTATATATCTATTATATTTTCTTAGTATTCATATAACTAACTACTAACTAAATTATACACAAAATTACATTCTATTCAATTCGTATAACACTTGCAGGACAAACTTGAAATCTTCTTTAGTTCTTTGCACATCTCGCTTATTATTCTTTATGAATCTTCTGTAATCTGCTTCAACTCCATTATTTGTATCTTTCTTTATTTTATCGAGAAGATTTACTAGGCCAGAATGTAGAACTACTTGGCCTATTTGTTTTCTCGAGGCTTTATTAAAGTATATATTTTGTAAATCATTAAACCAGTTTTGGGTTCTGTATGTAGTTATTCCTGCTATATTCTTTATTGCTTCATGAAACTGAAAAAGAAGTGAACATGATTATACAAAATACATACAGATTAACAAACTTTCTTCTTTTTGGAAGTCGGTAAAAGATTGTAAATATTCTTGTCATTATTATCGATACAGAGACCGAATCTAATAAAAAAAAATTTGGTCTGTATGTCTATCTCCGTGTCTGTGAAGTGTGAACAGGTTACGATCATTTTTTTTTAAATTTACAATACTTTTTACTGCGGGAAAATATCTTATCTCTGAGTTATCTATACTAACTATAGTGTCAAAGAACAGAATAAGTATTGGAACTTACATCACCCAAATTGTATAGCAAGTTCTGAAGAAAATCTTCAACTTCGTCAAATATATTTAGTTTATCACTTCCAATTTCATGTACGTTTCTGATATATTTAGCGAAATCCCTCCACATTATCAGAGGCTGTCTAAACTTCTGTTTTCTTTTATTTTTAGGTAAAACACGTTTTTTGTGTATTTTTTTATTTCTAAATTGCAAATATTCAGGATATTTTTTAGGTTTGACTAAATTTTCCTCAATATCAATTTTGGATATTTCGTAAAGGTATGCAACATATTTGAAAAGCTCTAAATATTTCCGAGGTACAATGTAACCTTTTTTTAAAAAATATCTGAAAAAAAAATAAAAATTATATGTTAACATATATTCGTAAAAGATATAACCCGAATTACTCGTAAGCGACCAGTCTCCATTCTAACATTTCAATCTACAGGATTTTTCCTAATGAAATAAATTAAAACATTCCTCACTTCAGACCTGGTTATCTTTACGGTGACTGCCTCTGTGGTGTAGTGGCTAGCATGTACGGCTGTACGGTTCGAGTCCCGGGTCGGGCCAAGTTTATTTATTGAGTCTTTCTGTATAGTAAGCCTCAGTAACAGCCCGGAGTTGGGAAGTTGGCGGTGTGGGTGTCGTGTAGTCGTCCCACCGGAGTATGAGAATGACAGGAATAGAGAGTGCACTTGTGTCTGCGCAATTGGCTAGTAGTAGGCTAGTAGTCTGAGATCCTAGGAAGGACATATAGGATAGTTTTATCCCGGAAATTATTTCTTAAGGGGTGAAAATGGGCATGAAATTTGTTTAGGTAATCAAACTAGGGACGAACTCTAATGAGTCGCTAGTCTACAATATATAAAAAAAACTGTTTCCAACATTTTTAACTGATTAAACGCTAAAGCTTGTCGGCTACTAAAAATAAAAAATAAAATCTGTTGACAAACAGAGAAGAATAGGCTGTTTTGTCTTTGCTTATTTATACATGGAGATATTCGTATATAGATTTTCATACTTACGATGTTTCTAAAAGTGTTCGTATCGTCCCTTGCAATTCTACAGTGGTCGGTAACCATGCGTAGAGCTCTAAAACCTTATTGTCAAACTTGATTATATCTTTTAAAACATTTATCATTCCTTGGAAGAAGCTGTTGAAGTTTATTTTGTCTTCACCATATTCATTTAATTCATAAAACGGTACAAGATTATCTGGTTCTAAAAACCTATTACTTTCGATACCGTTTTTCGGAACAGCATTGTGTTTTTGTTTGATTTTAAATCTACTTGGTATCGTCATAGGGCTTACTAAAACGTCTTCATCTGAATGAATCCTTTCAAAATAATAATCTACACCTTTTGTTTTCTTATTTATTTTAATCGGATCTAACTCGGATTTCCTTATTGTTGGATTATCTGTTTTTGTACCAAATATTTTCAGAAGATACATTAATTTTCTAACTGCTGTTATGTGGTCTTTAACATTGTCATTCTTGTACATATTTATTGGATGGTCGGAGTCATCTGAATTAGGAAATCTGTTGTATTGCGATCCATCATATCCACTTCTTAGCATATTTAAACCATTAAAGCGATTAATGTTATAATCGATATCTAAATAGTCATATGGATTGTAATGTATATTTTGATTTATAACTTTTTTTGAAGGTTTCAATAATTCATATAACTTTGAAATCTTATTTTTACTTGGATAATTCACATTTGTTGAATACGAATTTAATTTTTTATGCCCAAAAAATCTACTACTTTCCGGTATATCTAACTTAAGATCATTTTCATGATTTATCGTTCTTACTCTGGTTCTAAGGTTTCTTTCATAACTATCTTCCTCTTCATTATATAAGTTAGGTCCAAATCTATTATTAGGCTTGAAATATGCATTTTCGGGTGCATAATTGTATATCGGTACATAGTTTGGTTGCTTATAAGGTAAATTGATATCATTGATTAAAGCAAATGAAGGTTTTTTTGCAGCTGTAATTAATATTTCTTTACAATTTTAATCTAAACAAAAAATAATATCAGATAATTTTCATTACTTTTGAAGTTTTCATAATCTATACTTGTTGCGACTTAAACAATGAAGGCTATACGGGTGGGAGTATTCGAGACCAACACATAAAAACCCCACTTATTATATAGTTGATTACAATTCGGCAATAGTAAATAATATTTTATTTATTCATCAGATCGTAAGACAAACAGACACTTTTATGCACCAAAATAGAAACATAGATAAAAAAATATATTTTACATTCTTAAGAACTATTTAGAATAATAATATTTAGCTTAAGAAAATTTGAATCGCTTTCAAACTTACATACCGATCTCGTACACTTTGTATTCGCCCTTTGGCGTCGCGACAACGTTTAGCTTTGGAATCTCACTTGCGCTTTCAAACAAATCTAATCTTTGCCTTAAATTTGGTTTAATATCTTTTTCTATTTTAAAACTAGGTGTCGATACATTTTGTTCAATTTTAGTAGGGCTACTATCATGAGCAATGCTTTCTTTAATATCCTCTTTAGTAGTTGTACCAATTTCCCTACTTATATTTGAAATATTAGGAGGCAATATGGTAGTTGTAAAAATGTCTATATTTATTGTACTTGTAGATGTTTCATTTAAAATTTCACTATGCCTTCTCGATTCACCATCTATATAGCTAAAATTCCCAATAACACTGTTAAGTGTTGTTTCAGTTAAGTTATCTTTGGTTACTGATTCTGTGTCGATAGTACTCGCTTTTGTTTCACTCTCTAAATTTGTTGTGACTAAACTCTTAACACTTTCTTCTGTCGTTGATGATGTATTAATTAATGATTTTTCATCATTAATGCTTTCATCTTCTAATGATAAGTATTTTTTTTGCGTAGAACCCCAAGATACCTTGTCATCAATAGTAGTATTTGTATTTTCTGGAGTCGTAGATGTTATAATTTCATAATCAACATTACTTTCAGATGTGCTTTCAGTAAAATTAGGTTCAAAATCTTCAATCTCTGTGGACTGAGTATAATTATTATTCATATCTTTTCTTGGATTTTTATCATCTATACGTAAATGTTCAATAACTTGTTGTACCCCTTGTTCAGTAACTGATTCACTCGTAGGCATATCTCGGCTAGTATTAGTAATAAGTGTTAAACCTTGTTCTACTTCAATATTTTCATTTCTTAAAACTTTTTTGGCATCCTGAGCATCATTGTAATCTTCACCGTATACAGGCTTAACAGAAATAACATTATAATCCGGCTCACTTGTCGTCTCCGGTTGTATTTTCTCATCATTTTTTCTCTTTTCTCTTTTCCCGTCGCGTAAAGTTAAATCTATATATTTATTTTCTGTACTACCTCCATCTTTTCTCCTTTCATTTTTAAGATTTTGTGATTCTTCATTTATTATATCTTGGACATAAGCATGATGTTCATTGAGTTGATCATCATTAATTTCAACATGCGATTGATTTGGTGTATCATCGCTATTAATTCCTTCTAAAATTCTTCTTGCTATTCTATTTAAAAATTCTTGTTTTTCTTCTTCTGGCAATAAATCAATATATTTCTCATTACTTTCTTCATCATTGGCGAATATAGTCCCAAAGATACAAAAGATTATAAATATTTTATACATTTTGCGTTTTAAAATTAATATTAAGTCATTTTTTTAGAAGTTCTCAGCACATTCTATAAAGAATCGCTAATTAATAAATCAACATTAGTTTTGCCATTTTTAATTATGCGTATAATTTTTGATTGGTTTTTAAATCACTTGGAAAATTGCTTCGTTGATAAGAAAATATAAAAAAGGTAATCCTATTTCAAGTCACTAAAAATTTAGAAATAACGGCTTCAAGATAGGTATTAAAAATTATAAAACAAGAGAAAATCATTTTAAAATCAGATCAGATGATGTGAGGTAATCAAAAACAAATACTCGATAAGAAATTATGATTTATATATATCTTTTAATCTGAACATTCTTCTATGTATTCTTTAGCGATATACGTCTTTACTTATGTGCCTCACTAAGTGGCTTTTGTACTAACAATAAATTCATGCAGCGCCACCTTTTGGCCGATGTCATTACTAACTATTTTATCTAAATCCATCCAGCCTTCTGCACATAAAGGAGTAGCATACACATAATACTCGTACATACACACATAGGTACAAACCTCCGAATTTACTATAATAATATTATGATTCATATTTTTCTAAGTATCAAGCACACATCTTTGCCACTAATTACTATTTCAATAAGATTTTCCAAAAAATAATTAGTTAGAATTTTATTATATGTATAGAACTGGCGTATACTCTTGACAATTATTATTAGTCGGTCGATAAAATTATCAAACGAATAATTATATCTATTCGTCCGATTGTTATTGAGCCACTAGCAACAACCAAATTAAATATTGTAAATCACTACTTAGTATAAAACAAAGTCGCTTCTCGCTGTCTGTCTGTCCCTATGTATGTATGCTAAGATCTTCAAAACTACGCAACGCAAATGAGATTTTCACTGACAAATAGCTAATGTTATAAGGAGTAACTTAGGCTACTTTCATTTATTTAGGATTAGGGTTCCACGCAAAAAAATAGTATCCATGACATTGTAAACAAAATCCGTGTATCTAAGTCGCTAGTTACTTTTTAAAATTAAAAAGGTCCAGAATGTGCTTGTGTGCTAATATTTGGAAAATCAAATAAAATAATCATTCAAAGCATTCAATATTTAATTATCTCCACTATATTATACTATGTACAATGACCTGAATCCAATATTGATCTCGTCTTTAAATATCACCCCTGAATCTAATGGATCCTCTTGAAATTTTTCTGCCAGTTCTTTTCAATCTCCTCTCTGAACCCAATCGGGTGTTTTCATCCTGTTCAGAAATAGGTTCTACTTGAGGCTTAATTTCTTCTATTATAACGTCTTCTACTTTTGGAACGTCACTATCACCTTCTTTTTCGGACTTCAAATCTTTGTCAAATTCAATAACAGGTAATTCTTCTGTTTTCTCAGCATTCAATACTTCTTCAATGACTTCAATTTGGTCAACAGCGTCTTTCATCAACGCCTCCATTATAATGTTTTGCTTCTTACGATTCGTTTGACGATTTTCTTTTTTAACTGGAATATTTTCCGTTTCCTTCTTGTTTGTTTCTATTTCTTCTTTATTTATATCGGGTTCAACAATTTTACCGATTTCCATATTTAAGTCGTAATAGTTGGGTGAGTCTTCACAGGGGATTGAATCTCTTTCCCTGGTACAAACAAGTACTTCCTGAAAAAATATAAAAAATAATTTTAAGCTTACATAATTATACGACACATTTGACTCAGTTTGTAGTGACCCTACTTGCTGTGCCAACGGTCGTGGGTTCGAGTCCTGCTGGGGGCATTCATTTATGTGATGAGCACAAATGTTGATATTTATATTCATAATATGTTTGTATTTAAAGTTATATATGTATAGAGTATTAATTATCTGGTATCCATAACACTAGCCTCGTTTACCATTTAACTAGATGGTGTTGTGTGTTAATGTCTCAACATATTTATTTATTTATAGAAGCATATTTTACACAAAATAATCATTGCATTAGTCTTAGTTATTATAACATATTTTTTAATTAACTTCAAATTATGTCTTTACCAAAATTCTAATTGTCTTGCAATTTAAAAATTGCGGAAATAGCATTCTTTCACTATAAAAATCGTATTGTTAATGATTTTCCCACATTTTTGGTATACTTGTAAATACAAAAAGTTTTATGTATTATATAAATATCTCGTGTCACAGTGTGTTTGCACTCCTCCGAAATGGCTCGACCGATTATATAATAGATAGGTCTTAAAGTACATATTTTCCACCCTCATACCCCCACCCCTTATTTTTTAATCAAAATTTTAGTATTTTGTATGAACAATATCTAAATAATTTAATATTATATAAATACACAATTTCATTTTATTTTAGTATAAATCAAAAGAGTTTTTTTTTGTAGATTGAACGTGGGCGAAGCCCCCGTGGCTTCTGCTAGTCTTATAGTAATGGACTCGTCCCTACACTGTTCCAAAAGCATACTTATGTAGAATCGGCAATGCAATGTTTTTTTCCTTATAAGGAAAATTTCCTTATAAGGATAATACACATAATACAAAAACAGAGATTATCCTGATAAAAGTGTCACAAAGATCTTTCTTCAGATGCAGCGATAATTTACAATGATGTTATCAAAAAGCCTGTGCGGAAAATCACATATTCAAACCACGTACAAAAAAGTTGAATTGTAAATCATTTTGCCTCTATATATTTTGATGAAACTCTTGCAAAATATTGGTATTATGTGTGTGTATTTTATAGGTCCATTCTTTATCTACATGAGGTATATTTTATATTTGTTATTGCATATTTTGGACATATTTTCAAGCAAAATTATCTAAATAAGTTAAATCTACACTTTAATAAGAGATTTCTTTTGAAAAATTCATACCATAATATAATATAATATTATTTTTCTAATTTCTATACGTTTAAGGTAATAAAAAAAAAATACCTGATTAAATATAGTCTCTTGAGGACAAATGAAACTCCATCGATACGTAACATTTCTTCCGGATGGCATCTGCGAAGGCAGGCACACATGGAAGATCTGGCACTCGTTATCCACATCAGCATAATACCCATATGTGCGGTTTTCACAACTAAAATAACAAGATAAATTATAAATACGATCGTTTCATATGTTTATTTTAGTCTGGTCAATCCGAAATTTATATTTCCGGTATATCACCTAAGAGCCGGGGATTTGGCTTTCATATTTGACGATTTGAAGACCCGTGTGGCTCAGTTTGTAGTTACTTACTGGCACAGCAGTCGCGGGTTCGAGTCCCGCTAGGGGCATTCATTTGTGTGATGAGCTCGAATGTTTGTGTTCCAGTCATGGGTGTTATATCTAGTATCCATAACACAAGTCTCGTAGCTTACCATGGAATTAGATGGCACCGTGTGTTAACATTTATATTTATTTATTTATTTTATATCCATAGAACCTCAGTTACCCTATCCTTTTCATATTTTTCCTTCTCTTGTTTAGTTTACGGACGGAAATTAAAAAAAAACCTTTCTAAATTGTTGCTAGCTTGCACACGATTATAGGGTAATACTAGCCTTTGGGTTCATCCAGAAAATTGGTCTGGACATATTTTACATATAGGCATATCTGATAAATGTAATTAAAAAAATATTTTAATAAATAAATATTACCTGAAAGTATCAGTAATATTCTCTCTGATCGAAGTGGCGTTCGCTGGTAAATTCAGTGACTCCGCTGCTGTTTGATTGACCATTTCCTATAATTTATTAATATTTTGAGGTTAAATACTAATGTATGAGTTATGTTACATTATTATGATTATTTGAAAATTTCTCATAGTATATCAATGGCTTGGTATTGGGGGAATGTGTGTTATAGTCATATGAATGTGTCAGACGTGTTGTAAAAGCTGCTATAAATCTTATTTTACCTTGACTTCGGTCTACTAATGTAATAGCAAAAGTTTGTATGATGTTTGTATGACGTTTGTATGTCGTTTGTATGATTGAAACAGCTGGACTGATTTGAATAAAATTGAATATATAGATAGGTTATGCCCTAAGGAGTATTTTGAGACATCAAGAATTACATCGCTATTATTTACACTTAGCATGATCCCGACTTATATTTTGCTATACTTCAGACTACATACGATTATCTCTTTTGTAAATATCAAATTATCACATATTAACTTTTATTCAGCAGTGGGCAAAAGTCATTTATTCGATTTCCGCGTGTGGCCAATATTCTATTATATGTACACTACATATAATAAAATTCAAACTGAGTCGAACCTGTACATTAAATATTTTTTAAAACGCATCACGAGAAAACCGCTGGGCAGATTTTGATGAAATTTTGTATGATGATAGCTAGTTATCCAGGTCAACATATAAGATACACTTAACTGCGGGAAAATATCTCATCTCTGAGAAAACTAAACGTTAAAACATCACTAGGGACGAACACGAGCAGAGCGAGGATGAGTCACTAATTAATTAAAAAATTGGATTTGATTACGTTTTCTTACAAATATTATAACCTAACTTTTCTCAGACAGTAAAAACAAAAACAAAATTTAAGTTATTTTTTGTATAGTAAAGTTTACAAGAAAAGTGTGAATCGTTTTTCGAATACAAAGTTTCAAGTAAATATTTATGAGAATCAAGTCTTTAAAGCAGATTGATAAACGCACTGCGTTTTAAATATATAGACGCAGTACTGAGAAAAAAACGTTGATCTTTTCAAGAAAAAATATAAAATGTTCAAAGACTTTTGTACTTTCCAGAATTTAGCTCCTCTGAGCGATACTATCGCTTGGTACTCTAATAAATGAAAAAGTCTAACGCACAGACGATACGTTTGGCTCAGTTTGTAGTGGCCCTATTTGCTGTACCGGCGGTCGCGGGTTCGAGTCCCGCTGGGGGCATTCATTTGTGTGATAACGAAGTTTGTACTCCAGTCATGGGTGTTTATATTTATAATATTAAAGTATTTAAAGTTATATATGTGTAGTGTATCAACTATCTGGTATCCATAACACAAGCCTCGTAGCTTAACATGGAACTAGATGGTGCTGTGTGTTAATGTCCCAACATATTTATTACTTTATTACTTATTATTACAGACGGTACGGAACCCATCAATAATATATTTGTACTATTTTTAGGGTTCCGTACCTCAAAAGAAAAAAAAGAACCCTTATACGATCACTTCGTTGTCTGTCTATCTATACCATATTTCTAGGAAGTATCAAGTTGAAATAAATATCAATTACACTGAGTATTATATACAGTCCGTTGTAGCTGTGAAAAACACCTAAATCAATATATATGGCCGCTTATACCTACCGCATGTTTTGACTGATGGTGGTTCTTTAAATTAACATAACTTTTTTATTTATAAACTGATTGAAATGTTAAGTGAAGCTTACCACAATGCATTTGTGTAAACCGCACTCAAATCGGTTAAGCCGTTTCTGAGATTAGCGCGCATAAACGCACAGACAAACAGACAAAAAAATCTAAAAACCATTGTTAATAATGTTTTTTCTCAAATATCTTCCGTGTACAGACAACGATCAGTTACAATTTTATTATATGTATATTTTAATTTAATACGATACGTTAAATGACCGCAAAACTTATATACTTTGATTGAATTGTTTGTGGTAATAAGTCCTTGGACCTTGTCATATTAGCACTATTATTGTAAATTGTCATTAATACTTTAAATCTATCATATCATCTGATATCCATACTAATATTATAAACTAGCGGCTCACCCTTTCTTTGCTCGGGTTCATCCCTAGGTATACATACCAATATTATAAATGTAAAAGTGTGTTTGTTTGTTTGTTTGTTTGTCCTTCTTTCACGCTGAAACGGAGTGACGGATTGACGTGATTTTTTGTGTGAGGTAGTTGGAGGGCTGGAGAGTGATATAGGCTTTTACCGTGGGCAATTATCTAATTCCCACGGGAAACACGTTGTAATACAATCCAAAAAAATATTTATGATCAGAGTTACTTGAAACTCGGTATTAATATTCTTCAATAAAATTAAATAAATAGGTGTTTTAGCATTTTTCGAAATTCATCTTATAAGGGGGGTAAAATAGGGGATCAAAGTTTGTATGAAACTACCTTTTTACAGATTTTTTGAAGTTTTGGCGCGAACGAAGCCGCGGTTTCTGCTAGTATAGATATAAATAAAGATTTTATACAGATTTATTATATATAGATATAAATAGTTATTAGTCAGCGTTAGCCATATAATTTTTTTTATGATTTTTTTTGTAATATTTTAATAGTTATTCTGCTAATTAGGGCGGAGACAAATCCAACAAAGTAAAAACCATGAAAATCGGTCCAGCAGTTCTCGAGTTATAAGTGTTGTAACAAACCCGACTTTGTTTTATATATAAGATGTGAAAGTGTTGTGTTTGTTTCTTTGTTTGTTTTTCCTTCTTCCACGTTGAAACAGATTGAAGGATTGGCGTGATTTTTGTATGGAGAGGAGTTGGAAGGATGGAATCGTTGGAATTAGCTTTAACAAGGGGTAATTTGCACGCCATCTATCTTACATTGATGAAAATATTTTTTAATAGAAACAATGAAATATAATTTTCATTTAAAATAAATAAATATTCTATGATGTAACCATTCAGTGTGTCACTGCAATACAATTTTTAAGGTGTCTAGCTTATTTTACCGCCCAATCTCACTCGCATCTTCTCCATTCTACGTGACATTGGCGAAGCTATCTGTGCTCAATTGGCATGTTTTAAAGACATTAACATGAAATTTGTATTGAATTGAATTGAAAATTTCTATTGAATTTCAAATATTTTTTTTAAATCTTAGACAGTGGTAACGCCCTCAGGAAACAGAGTGAAGCGGGTTCAAATCCGGTATCTCGTATGATTACCACTTGTCTTACGGTTACGGAAAAAATCGTGAGGAAACCTGCATGTGTGAGAGATGTTTGTAAATTTTCGAAAGACATGTGCAGTCCACCCGCACTTAGCCAGCGTGGTGGACTATGGATTGATCCCCCTCGCAATAAAGGGATGCCCACACCGTGGGACGTCAAAAAGGTCTGAGTACAAATCATAAGAGATTGTAGGATCTCGTCTTATATATGTAAGTAGTCTTACCCTTAGCATTTTCAGTAAATTCCCACTCTGCACTTCTAATTCAATTTCATCACCCAACACGTATGTTGTTAGAACAATAAACAATACACTCCGTATCAACACTGTCGCCATGTTGAATTTGTGGAAATTAGTTGGACTAAAAGTTATAAAAAATTTTTTTTAATGTAATTCAACTTATTTATTTAATTATTATATTTATTTATTTTATTTAATGTGCTCTGATAAATAAGTATAATATTTATTACCTAACAAAGTTACAACACACCGACTTCAAAATCTCTTAAGTAATTATTTCACCCTCATGGTAAATTTAATATTTCTTATTTTTTACTTTTTAGTTTTTTTTTTGAAGTCGGTTTTAGTTTTTTTCTAAACTTTTTATTTTTCTTTTTTTAGTGTAGAGATAGTAGTAGCAAAGTAACAAGAAAGTATTTTAATAAAATATTCGCTTAAGCCGTTTAAATTAGTTTGATGCCAATTTTATATGAAGACTGACAAACTAAAATTCGCTTTTATTAGTAACACTATAAAAACTTAAAAAAACGACTTCAAAAAACCCACTAAAAAGAAAAAAAAATAGCTTATTGGTAGTTTTCATTTACTATAGATACCCAATCTGATATTTTCGAAGTCGGTGCCAGCAGATACAAATCAAAGTACGCTGACTTCGAAAATATCTGATTAGGTATCTATAGTAAATGAAAACTACCAATCAGATATTTTTTCCTCTTTAACATCTTTTTTTTTGAAGTCAATTTTTTTTATTTTTATAAAGTTTTTTTTCGATTTTAGTGTAGACATACTCGTAGTAGTAGCAAAGTAAGAAGAAAGTTTTTCAATAAAATATTCGCTTAAGCCGTTTAAGTTAGTTTAATGCCAATTTTTATATGATACCGAACCACTGCACTATCAACGGCAATAGAAACACTTGTAAAGTTTCAAGTCAATATGACAATTAGAAGTAGGTAAAATTTTCTTTAGCTATTTTTTAACCCATAGGAGTGAATTTGATCAAACTGGAAGTATACACTTTCAAACAAAACAAAAATTCTCCAATTCGGTTAATATGACGAAATTATGAGGTTAACAAACATAAAAAAAATTATAATATACAGCCGAATTGAGAACCTTCTTTTTGTAGTCGGTTGAAAATATATATTTATTTTCTTATATATATATATATCATTTATTTTCTAAAATCAAAACAAATCCTTACTAAGAAATCAAATTTAAATTTATATTATTATATTATTTATAAATAAAATCTACAAAATTCAATACAAAGGCAACTCACCCCAGTAAAATAAACTTATTTCCGACTTTTTCACAAACTTTACTAATTTGAATAATATATGCACTATCCAAAAGCCACCGGCTTCTCTCGCTCAATAAATGGGAATGCGAAATATTTTATTCTATATCTGTCTTATATAAACGACGGGCGTCGCGTTATTTATTCGCGGAATCCAGAATGAAGGATTTGGTAGCGTCAGCAGAAAACTTTTTACGCAGTTTTAAAAATAAGTATAACTAATTTAAACAAGTCGTCGCCGAGTGGTTGAAATTCAACCTTAAACGTTATTGAAAATTTTAGGAAAACAAATGAATAGAATTTACCTATCTATATAAAACCTAAGCTGTTTCCAAAATTTTTTATTGATGACTTTAAGAAAATTGGTTGAGGAGAAATAGGTACTGAACAGTTTTGTCTTTGCCTATTTATATGTAGATTACGAAAAAAAATATAAAAGTCCTTTTGCGTTTTATTTCTATCCGTACATATCTTTGTCCCGAGAGATGTGACCCGAAAGCCAAATAGCTTCAAATTCACAACAACCTTGACTTTGGTAATCTATCGATACCGTCGGGTGAAATATCACTCATTTTACTATGAAATTTTTAATATAACATGTATTCAGCGTCCACTGCTGGGCGTGGGCCTCCCTTCAATACGAGGGGGATCAGGCCATAGTCCACCACGCTGGCCAAGTGCGGGTTGGCGGGTTTCACATGTCTTTCGAAAACTTCTAGGTTCTCTCAGACTTGCAGGTATCCTCACGATGTTTGCCTTCACCGTAAGGCAAGTGGTAATCATGTTAGAAATGATTCGCACATGTAAATATCAGAGCTGCGAGTCCCGGGATTTGAACCCGCTTCACTCGGTTTCCCAAGCGAGCGCGTTACCACTGGACTACCACTGCCTATCAGGTCTAATGTCGAGTCAGGTGATAGATGTTGTTTTAAATTAATGACATTACATATAATAAAATTCTAACTGAGTCGAATATGTACATTAAATTTTTTTTGGATATCATATTGAAATAGTCATTATTATCGATACAGGGGCCGAATCTATAGTTTTGTCTGTCTGGAAACGCATCACGAGATAACCACTGGACAGATTTTGATGCAAATTGGCATGATAATAGCTGGTTATCCGGATCAACGTATAGAATACTTTGTACTGCGGGAAAATATCTCATCTCTGAAAAATCTATACTAAACGTAACTAGGGACGAACCCGAGCAGAGCGAGAGTGACTCGCTAGTCTTTATAATTTTAGTGTAATGACAGTGGTGTCAAATGTTTCTACATTTTCTTTAATTATGAATTTTAAAAATGTAAAACAAATATATTTTACACTCCTCGTCATAACAAATCCATTTTGTAGACATATAAAAGAATACTATTGATTTTTTTTACTAAGAGTAATGACCCCGATTTTATTTTTTTAACCGACTTCCAAAAACGAGGAGGTTCTCAATTCGTCGGAATCTTTTTTTTATGTATGTTCACCGATTACTTGAAGACGCTTAAACCGATTTGGAAAAAAAATCGAAAATATCTGATTAGGTATCTATTCTAAATGAAAACCCCCGTTTAGTTATTTTTTACATTTCAGTGCCTGGAAGTCGTTTTTTTTTAAGTTTTTCTGTACATCAAAAAAATACGGAGGCCATATATGATCACTCTTACATCAATCTGCCTCACAGTAAAGTAATCCAGAGACGAAAAACAGCGGGCAAAAAATTAGTTGTCAATAATTTGGAGTCAAAAATTGTCACTCATTATTATATATACGTACTCACGTCACGTTTCTAAATGCTGCAAATGATTGAACAAAACAAAGGTTCAATGCTCGATAGATTTGAATTAAATACTAAAAAGGTTTTTTCCCGATAGTCCGAAAGAAAGAAGGTTTCGTATGTATGTATGTATGTATGTATGTATGTATGTATGTATGTATGTATGTATGTATGTATGTATGTATGTATGTATGTATGTATGTATGTATGTATGTATGTATGTATGTATGTATGTATGTATGTATGTATGTATGTATGTATGTATGTATGTATGTATGTGCATATAATAATGTATATATTCATATGTTTTTGTATCTTTATGTATTTTTAAACATTTTTTCAACTTAAAAAGCTGGATCTTAACATATAAGATCGCATTAAATTTGTTTTATTAGTGGGAGTAATATGAACCATATATTTAAACTAGCTTTTCCATTACTTATTAAGTCATCTTTAGTCATCCTAGTTTAATTATCGATTCAACGATATATTTGGCTCAGTTTGTAGTGTCCCTACTTGCTGTACCAGCAGGTCGCGAGTTCGAGTCCCGCTGGGGACATTCATGTATGTGATTAGCACGATGTTATAATTTTTTTAAACAGTCCTATTCATCACATTTCAGATATGTAATCTATATCTATACATGTAATAAAATTCTAACTGTCGAATCTGTACATTATTTTTTTTTTTGGAAAATCTTATTGACATAGTCATTATTATCGATACAGAGACCGAATCTATAGTTGCTATTTTTGTCTGTCTGTCTGTGACCCCATCACGGAAAACCCACTCGAAGGATTTTGATGAAATTTGGTATGATGATAGCTGATTATCTGGATCAACGTATAGGATAATTTTTACTGCCGGAAAATATCTCATCTCTGAGAAATCTATACTAAACCACAGATCATATAATACATACTAGTACTAAACGTTAAATATAAGATAAGATGCAAAAAACCAAACAAAAAAATAATTCTCAAGAACTATTCCTACTACCACTCTCCATTCTTAGTCACTTTAATAGTTACCATCTAGCGTCCAAAATATTTTAATACAATCTAAGGCATAATAAGGTAATAAGGTTATATATATATAATAAGGTATTTTGTCGCTTATTGTACCTATTTAATTCCTCTATGTACATATTATTGTATAAACCACAAGCATGAAATATGATTCCATTTTGTCAACACAGTACAAACAGATAAATAAAATTGAAATGTCTGTTTGTAATGTCAAAATAATAGCTTTTTTACTAAATTCATATGAAATTATATACGGTACTTATAAGAAAAATATAACTTGTAAATTTTTGACCTGTTTATGTGTTAGTTCCGGCTGATCTCCCAAACGACTGGACTGGTTATGATGGAACTTTCACTAGCAAATGTTATTAGAAGTAACTTAGGCTACTTTTGTTTTAGAAGGAATTAGGGTTCACCTCAAAAAAATTAAAATCTAGTATCTAGGGAGGCACCCGAGCGAAGCGAGGGTAAGTCGCTTATATATATATATATATATATATATATATATATATATATATTATTAGCTTATATATATATATATATATATAAGTCAAAGTGGCTGGACCGATTTGGATGAAATTTTGTGAGTATATTTCAATGAGCTCGTAAAGGGGAGGAGTAAGATGACAAACTTACGTACAGAAGAATTATATATATTAAGATATTAATAGGATCTACAGCACAATTATATCTAAATTCGAATCTATTATGTTTATTCAGGTTTAAACTAATTTTAGTAATAAATTGAAATAATATTATCCGTATATTTAATTTGCGTGCCTAATTGATATTATGATCATTAACAGGTTTGACCGACTCCAAAACAAGAGGGTACATGATTAGATTATGTTTTTGTTTGTATGTAATTTGAAGCCGATTAAAACCGCAAAAAATATCGGTCTATTAGTTTAGGAGCAACAACAGCACAACTCAAAATAAATCCGCGGAAAAATATAATAAAATATACGCGTAAATCTAAGAAATTATGAGATATCATTCTGAATTCATAATATAATACATATATACTAGCGGACCCGACAGACGTTGTCCTGTCTACACGTCTTTAATTTGAAAATTTCAAACTTTTTTTAATAATTTTTTGATGAAAATTATTATTCAAATTGTGAATCTAAACCATTCCCAGATCCCCTTGAACACACACAAAAAATTTCATCAAAATCGGTCCAATCGTTTGAGAGAAGTTCAGTGACATACACACTCACAGAAGAATTATATATATAAAGATGTAAATAAATTTGAATGTTGGAAGGTAGTGTGGTTTTACAAAATCTTTAATAAATTATCCATATTTTTTTATATTATAATTTGTTGTATTAAGTTGTCTGAAGCAGTGCGTCTCATAAATAAAGTTTTATTCTATTGTAAAAGTCAATAGTTAAAGAGCTACATCAGTGCAAAATTTCATCAAAATGTTAATTTGTCACCTTTAAATTCTTCAAAAATAACGGCGAAAAATAAAGAAACAACATAAAAAACATTATTAATTAGTATGGAATAGATATTCCGTCCCATATTATGTGAAAAACGAAAACAAATCTATCCCACGGGAACTGTACACTTTTCCGGGATAAAAAGTTATCTGTGTGCTATTCCAGACTATAATCTATCTCTGTGCCAAATTTCATCCAAATCCGTTCATCCATTCTGGCGTGATTGAGTAACAAACATCTATCAAATTAAATTTGTCAAGGAAAATCATGGTGCTCATTTTGAGAACGACCCGGAAGTATATTTTATAGGTTAAGGTCGTATACGTCTTTATTATGATGACTTAAAATTATCTTTAATAAACTTTAATTTAATTAAATATGTACAATTATTTTATTTTAATTGTAGTATTGTTATTATTTCTTTTTTTTTGTATAAATACTTATAGGAAACAAATTATTCTTCTTAAATCCTGTTTACAACTATTTATATTATACTAGCGACTCACCCTCGCTCCGTTCGGGTTCGTCTCTATACGTTTTAACGGATAGAATAGGTTTCTCAGAGATGAGATATTTTCCTGCAGTAAAAAGTAACCAGCTATCATCATACCAAATTTCATCAAAATCTGTCCAGTAGTTTTCTCGTAATGCGTTCTCAGACAGACGGACAAAAATTCTAAAAACTATAGATTCAGCCTCTGTATCGATAATAATGACTATTTCAATAAAATTTTCCAAAAAATATTTTATGTACAAATTCGACTCGAATTTTATTATATATGTAATATGTAAAATTCTAACCCTATTATATTTATTATATAGAACTGGGACTTTGGGATGGGATATAGACTCTGAGATAGGATAACCAATATATATCAGCTATCCCATCCCAGAATCTTCCTCTACTAAATTTAATCAACTCAATGATCTACAGACAGACAGTCGCATTTAACAGTAATAATATTTTACTTCTACCTTCAGTTGAAAAAAATAAAACCAATTTCTTTTATTACCACTTTTATAGCTCTTTACAGGTTTTTATTTTTAGGAATCTCTAAGACCGATGACAATCTTTAACAGTACTAAGGTTGTAACTGTAAATTGATGTAACCTAAAAATATTCTTTGCATGTACTGAATCGAAACTAAAATAAATTTAAGGATAATGGTTCTGTATATATATATATATACATATATATATATATATATATATATATATATATATATATATATATATATATATATATACTATATATATTGTCTTAGAAGTCTGGGATAGAGATATATTTTATTGAAAGTATTATTAAATCAAAATCCGTT